TGACCGCCTCATAATCTCTGCACGACATGATTGGCGAGGGTAGCACCGAGGTTGACGACCAAATCGCATGCCGCCATGCCCATTCTGATGTACCACCACAAAATCGGCCGACATCGACAAGAAGGAAATACCAACGGGGCACATATTATGCTAAGTACGTGCTTCGTCTCTATGCTGCTTGCACGACGTCTTGATCATCGTGCAAACTAACACGATACTTCCACTGCATATGTCATTAGGCCGACCCGAACGTCTCCGATATCAAGCTACATACAACGCAAAACTTCGTTCACTTCAAACCCCTCGCAGGAACTCGAAAAGCGAACCAGCCGAAGCCGATGCCGATTGTGGAGTGGGCGATCAGACCAACAGGCTCATCCAGAGCGAAGTACAATAGCCTTCGCCGCCTCACCTGATAGGCCCCTATCTCGCTCACGAACATCTCACTCTAGTCAAGGCATCTCGACACAGAAACAGCTGCCGGGCTCTCAGTGTCAAGTCACTCGATCCTAATTTCGAGTTCTACCGGTTTAGTCTCAGCGCGAGTCCCATTTCCATTACAGCGTACGTCTTCCTGCTTTGTGACATCCGTGCTACATTTATCCGGAACACGTAGCGTGTATTCGAACGAATGGGCGAGTACTTCTTCGAACTATTCCCATGGCTTCCCTGCCGGCAATCGTCTTGATCCTGACCGTATGGGCGAGATGAAAGAGAGAGAGGCGGAGCTGATGTTGAAGTTGTCTTTCCTCGACTCGGAGATGAAGAATCAGAACGAGTCGGCGGACGGTTGGGTCCAACTTTTCCTCGACGATATACAACGGCTCATTTCGCAAGAGTTGGCGAAGGTACACTCTACCCTCGCAGAAGACCATGTGCCCTTTCGTGACCGCCAACTGCATGCGCACCGGCGCCATATTGCTGCACTCCATCAGCAGCGAGATTTATTGGAACAGGGTATGGAAGATCACAAGAGGTACCTTCAGATGGAGGCCCCCGACGGCTATCTTCTCCACTGTTATCGCAGTGGTGACGGAATCTCAAACGGAGCCAGGTGAGTCCTCTCTTCGCAAGTCACTCGCATTTTTAACAGTATACTGACGAATATGCCACAGGGTGTATATTTCCAAAATTTGTTGAGGATCACTACGGCTTTTGACAGACCAAGAGCTTTTTCCTACCTTTCGGTATGTTCTTGAGCCTTTCACTCTTCACGTCGTTGTTTATTCCGCCTACGTGATAACATTTGATAGCTTCCTCGCGATGTTTCTTTGGGTCGTGGTACCTTTCGAGTGGCTCGAGGTTTTCCGCGCTTCGTGCCCGTCTCCGATGTCTTTTCTGTGATCTTCTCCATCTACAGTGCCGTCTCACTAAATAGAATAGTTGTGGTCTTCGCATGATTCAACGCCGCCCTTGAGGGCGGTGCTCGCCACGTTGGGTGGCACCCAATCATTGTAAGTTCGGAAATACCCATCGTAGGGTCGTCGACTCTCACGGTTTTACATATTGTTCGTTCCTTCCGGGTGCTCGCCGACCTTGTCAGCAGTCACTATGAGCGCTGTACCCGCTAGCGGAAGCAAACGAAAGAGGGCCCCTGCTGCTGCCCGTTTTCGGAGAGCAGATGGTTCGAGTGTTGCATCTCGAAACACCACTCGCAGTTCACGTACTCGACCTCCACCCAAGTCTTCTCATAGCATGCCCGGCTCTACGCCAACCACCAGTGTTCGCTCTTCTCACGTCTCCGCCCTGTACACAACAAATCGGACCTGGGTCAACGTGAGAACTGAACGTCTTAGCATTCCCGACCCCACATCGGAATCCTCGAACACTGGATCGTTGACAGAAGTTCACTTTCTAGAGGGGACGTCGAATCAGGGCCCTTGGGAAGACGAGGACGAGCGACCGTCTGATGCGAAGAGGCCGCGATATCGAACACGCAAGCGCAGGGTATGTCTCTAAACCATCTGTTTTTGGCTTAGGAAGCTGAACGTGATCAATCTTCCAGGTCGATCTCCTACAAGCACTGAAGGAAGCCCGCAATATACTCCTCGATGAGGTTCTGCGACACGAAGGCCTTGCCGGACAGCATCCCCTCTCTTTCTGCGCTTCCTGTCAGTTGGAAGCTGGGACTTTGCGCTGTGAGGACTGTGTAAGCAGCCATCTATACTGTGACTCTTGCGTTTGCGAGAATCACAAGACGGCACCGCTTCATCGGATAAAAGTCCGTATGCGATCAAATTTCAATTAACATACCATTTGTCTGATTGAAGTGATAATTTTTGATAGCGTTGGGAAGGGCGTACTTTTGCCAGATGCTCATTGCGCGAATGCGGGCTTTGTCTTCAACTCGGCCATGACGGAGATGATTGCGCTCATCCACATCCCCAATGTACGCTCACGATCTTGGACATCACAGGCGTTCACCAGATCAATGTACAGTTCTGTGATTGTGCCAACGTCGGGTCCTCTCGCTACTACATCCAGATGATGCGTGCCGGCTGGTGGCCCGCCTCCCTCGAACGTCCTCGAACAGGCTTTACCTTCCGCCTCCTCCAACAGTTTCACGCGCTCACCCTTATCGCGAAAACGAACGCATACGACTACTACCGCTCACTCATGAAGATAACAGATGGAAGTGGGGTTCACCACCATAAGGTACGGGTGCGAAGGCAGCGATCTACGCTACTTTGCCGACACAATTGACTGCTCGCTTTACTTACATATTGTTTAGTTTCGCTATAGGGAATTCAGTCTGTCTTTCCGTGGTTGGCGAAATATCACGGCAGGCAAGCGCGCAGGGCGCGCGTATGAGGAGGGCGGTATGGAAACAACTGCCGATGGCGAGTTGTGTCCAAAGTGTCCCGCCTGCCCTATCCCACTCGTCAACATCCCGGCGAACTACCTCGACGCGCCTCCAGACAAGAAGTAAGTGCAGCTTCTCTGTCGTTATCTCATATACTCTCGAATAACATATGGCCGTAGGTGGTTATATACGTTCTTCGTCGCCATAGACGGGAACTTCAAGCTCAAACGCAAAAACCATACATTTGACGACATTCACTTTTCACCTGGTAAGGGCTGTTTTGTAGACGATGGTAAGTATCGCGCGACCATCGACAGGCATGTGGATGATGAACCAGAAGTGAGTTTTCCGCTTTCGTTAGTAGGGGTGCTCTCAACGCAGGTTTATAGGTCAAAGTTTGCGAATCCAACTATAACGTTCTCGACCGTGCAAACGCTCAGACGTCGACTCGTTTTGCCTCTACTGGCATCGGATCTGCAGAGTGCGGACACCACTACTTCTTCTTGCCCAATGGTGTTGGCGATTTTCAGAAGGGGGAGAGGTAAGTTCTTTGTTTAGATAGGCGTCATTTTCGTTCTCAACGCTCGCACAGGTACATCAACATCGGCTATGTTCTACTCCGTGCCATCGCACTCACGCATCCCGAATGGTGGCGGCTAGTAATATCCTACGACATTGCATGCCAATTCTCCCTCAACTTCTTCAAGCGCATGAAGGACTTCGACATCACCTTCCGTATCGACCCCGACAATTGTGAAATCATATTCCTCGTTCCTAAATTTCATCTTCCCGCCCACGGTGAAAGCTGCCATATCAAATTTGCGTTCAACTACCGCACCGGTGTCGGACGCACCTACGGGGAGGGAATCGAAGCTAACTGGTCCGAAACCAACTTCGCCGCCCTAGCTACCCGTGAGATGCCATTTGGCGCACGCCAGGAGACTCTCGACGACCTCTTTGCATGGATGAACTGGCAGAAAACCATCACCTTCGGTATGTGCAACATATTATACCACTTTGCATTGTCTGACGGTCAGGCTTACGCATACAGGAGAACGATTCTCAAAGTCGCTTAACATTGCTGTCGCTGCCTCAGAGAAGACCCAGAAGAAGTTCAAACAGCTGAGAGATACATTTGAGGCTGATGTCGTCGAGTGCTGGGACAGGGAGATTGAGGCCTGGACGCAGGACTCGACCCAGGATAATCCATACCAAGAACCCGAGGTGACCCGTGCGTAAATCCCTTCGGGCATCGTTCTGCAATTATTGTATCCCTGTTAAATTATCTTTATAGATGTAACTGTCGCACAATGTTTGGAGGCCATTGGAAGAGAAGAGGCTGCAGAGGCTGCCGCGGGGGTTCTAGCACCTCACGAAATAACGGCCGGTAAATTTCTCAGTGTCGGCATGGACCTTCAAGAACAACAGTACGTCCGCACTTTGAGATCCCTTCACCCCATATTCCTTGACGTGGAGCGTCCTTGCCGATATTACTTCTTTCCAGGCGTACGCTTAGGCTACGAAAGGCGAAGACAGCAGATGAGAGAGCCGAGCTGCAAAGCCAACGGAACACGCTTGCTCATCGCCAGACTAATTGGCGTAGCATCCTCGCATTTTACATGCCCGTAGCCTCCCAGCTTGATACGCACGCAGGAACCACGAATTCCACTGGCGAGGGTGAGGAAGCGGACGAAGACAGTTTGGCGAAACCAGAATACGACAAGTTATGGTTCCCTTCCGATCGGCCAGCTGATATCGCGGTAGAGAGATGGAGGGCGGGTATGGCTGGAGGGTTGATGGACAAAGAGAGAAGGCTTCGAGAGGCAGAGTGCGAGGACTGTTTGCGTCAGGTGAGTCTTGCGCGTGTCAGTGTCTTTTTGAGACATTACATTCGCCAGGCTCGAACGACTTTCTCGAATGCTGCCGATATTTGTGATTATGCTGCGCTAGGCGAACGCGCCACCCGATCTGCGTCTCGCGCTGCTCGCACTAATATCATGTTTCCACTCGTCTCGACTTCCGACCTGTTTCTCCACCTACATCCGGCTGCCCGAAGAGTACGCTGACATCATCTCCTGAATTGCGATGTGTAGATCAGGAGGTACATCCGAGTGCGGATGGGCTTAGTATCGTACAAGAAAACACATGTGGCTGGCAGGGGGAACGGTAGTAACACCCGGGCCCAGAGCGCCATTTCCAGCATACAGGACAAAATCAAACGCCTCCGTGTTCGCTACAACGAATCTCTTCAACGCCTTTCCATCCTCGACAGCGACCCGGCTTCTCCATGGCGCTCGCGACTGCTCGAAATGCAGGTCGCTGATCTCAAGACTCCTAGTGGACTCGACCCTTTTGATTCCGAGTATGAGGACGACGACGCGAGTTCCAGGCGCCGCAGAGCATTAGGGGATGGATATCGAGATCTCTCCTGGATATGGAGTGGGCTGCGACCTGATGTTGACGATGTCTGGGCAGACAGTGCTTCACGTGAGGAGGTCGTGGCAGGTATGTTTACTCGTCGACTCCTACTTTTCTTCCGCTTATATATTGTGCTGACAATGCTCGGGACGTTTTCCAGAAATGCGCTCCACATATGCGAGAGCCAAGGCGCGTTGGTGTCGATGGGAGGAGGAAATCCAGCTGCTTCTTGAAGAGATGCGGAGGGTTGTGGCGACATTCTTTTGGATGGAAAGGAGATGGTTGGCGAGGACAACATATCGTCCGGAAGCTCGCGAGGACATCCACAGTGGCCTAGTCTCTTACGCGTTGAGACAGGCAAGTGTCTATCGAGGCCTTGCGTATCGTTTTGGGTTGAAGTGGGTACCGCAGGTAGCGGCTCTGGGGCTTGACGTCGATTGGGAACCCGGGCTTGTTGACTATGTCCAGTCAGTTATTAGGACACGCTCAGCTACAAGGTCTGCGGGCTTCTTCACCGCCAGCTCTAACACGCCTTCATCACCTTTTACCTCCTCGCCAATGACGGAGTTGCCTTCCCACGCCACAACAATCTCACCTTCGGGCGCCACACCTGTACCCGGAGGCGGACTCTGTGCGCCTTCATCTTCTTCTACTAATGTCACCACCGTACCCGACACCACCGCCACGCCTTTTATCGACTTACAATCGGAAACCAACAAAACATCGACCTTTCCCGCGACAAACGGTGTTGGGGAAGCTGATCGCTGGACACAGGATGCTCGGGATGCAATATCTGCCGAGTTACACTTACTAGAGGCAGTACATAATCTTCATTTAGACGTCTCCGATGAGTCTGACGGTGTTGCCTCTGACTCTTCTGGAGAAGACATGAGACATAATAATGGTGGAATATCGTATGGTGGCTTTGATTCTGATTAATTTGTGTATGACACGAAGCTTACTGAAGTAGCATATGTTTTTATTATAATATCAATTGACTTTCAGTATTACACTTGCCTGACCACCACACACACATGAATCTACGGCTCTTGAGACACGTTCACACATTATCCTGCATTTATCGTATTTTATCTCGACCAAAATGCCCCTCCAAACCCCGACAGTAGACTCGAAACCAGTCCCACGAACGAGCGTGGTTAAACCGAATCTGAAGACAGTCGTTCAGATGGATAACCACGCCAGTGGGACTGGAGCCACTGGGTCGACGCGCGGGGGATGAGAATGTTCCCACGGCAATTGTCACGACTTGTGAATTTTCGCGTCTCGATGCGTCTCTTCTCGTCGTGTTTGCGCTTCGTCTTGTACATACCTGGGCTCTTCTACACTAGTTCGACTCATGATATATACATTTTACACTCGTTTCAATGCCACCCAAGCGCGTCACCACTCCTTTGAATGCAGAACACCACGAAAATGACATCAACATGTACCTGCAAGACTCGGTCGACCCCTCTACACCCAGGCGTCGACACCTTGAGACGTCCTAGAGCTCTCCTATGAGCATCCTTGATCCTAGCCCTCCCCGCCCTGGTCGAAAAGTCAAAGGCAAATTTGACTTCACACCTAAACTTCCCTCTCTCTTCGAGACTATCGAACCACGCCCTTCCGAAGACTCATCTCCTGGTCAGAATCGAGGCTCGACAAGTGCCACACCAGCTAGTTCACAAAATGACACACCTGTCGGGTCTACTGCAGCGGAGAAGCATGCCCAGAGAGTCGAGGAGAAACGTCGCACGAAGGAAAGACAGGCAACACGACTGATGTCATTGGTCTCAAAGGCGACAAGGACGGTGGCTTTGGCTTCATATCCCTTGGCGATTTCCTCGACACACTCCTCAACTCCAAGGATCCCCATCTCTCTTCAACCGCCACACAATTCGCGCAGCGCCATGCTGCAAACCTCATCAACCTTCTTCACTCCCGTGCTCCCGACGCCACAGACGACGCCACAATGAAGCTCCTCATACCGATTCTTCAGCGCGAATGTCAAGCAGTGCAGGATCTCCTCTCACGCGACTGGTTCATCAAGGATCATGACCTACTGTATGAGTTTTCGATGGAGAGATTGAGTTCGGAGCTGAAGAAGTGTGCACCCATGCTCTGGAAGCTGTTAGAGGAGACATCTCGAGCCGATCTCAGTGCACGAGATGCAGTACCAGTGAGTAGACTTACACCACATCCAAATAACCGACCTGATTGCTCCATACTGACTACACTGTCATCCCAGGTGCTCACTTCTATTTGTGCGATGCTTTCCGTTGTGCGCAATGAGTGCGCAAATGACTTTCAAGCCGTGATGGGCCTGTTCTTACTCGCATCCGGTACATCTAAGCGCGAGCTCGAAGTCCTTGCTCACGCTGGCATCTGCATCTCTTACAGCTCTGTTCTTCGCCACGTCAAGAAATTATCGGAGGAGGGGACAAAATACTACATCAAAGTAATGGAGAACGGGATGTGTATGCTCGTGTGGGATAATATCAACATTGCAGTCCGTGTTGGTGAGCAGCGTATCCATTCAGTCAACCACTTCGACAACGGTACCACCGCCACCCTCATAATCCTTTACGGTCCCGGCTTCTACCCTTCCCGTGTGCCACATGGAACCCTCCCCATTGAGACGAAGCCCGCTTGCACGTCTCGCCAGCCCAAGATTGACTTCACACCCGATCTCATCCTTCCATCTGCTAAGCACGCACAACAACTCACGGAATCTTGCCTTTGGGAACTTAAGCAACTCGCGATGGAGAGCATCCCAGAGCTCCGTCGGTTCCAAGATCAGCTCGGTAGTGCTCCATCCATCCTCCAGATTCCTGTCCATAAGACTGAACAGTTCCCTCTACCGGCCATGAAGATTGATGAATTGAGTCTCGATGGTACCTTCGAAGTCATTTCGGCTGTGAAAGAGAACCTCAAGATTTCGAAAGGCTTTATGGCCAAGCATGGCCTTCTGTTCACTGACGGCGACTTGCTGACATACCTCTTGATTGATAAGGTAATGAAAGCTTAATCCTATTTGGCCATTCGTATGCTCACATATGATGTATTCAAGGCCGAATCCGCTCGACGTAACAGCACAGATGTTGACGAAACATTGCGCTATCTTGTCAAGCGCTTTGGACTATTTCATGCGAAGATGGCCGGAGGTCGGATGGTAACTAATCAGTTCTGGGGAAAGCCCAATTCGACGTGGCCCAGCAGCTTGTGGCGGGAGAATCATGTCCTCGGACGGAAGGCGATGATGGCGGGGTGGAAGGGCAAGAAGTCAATGCCATGGGCGCCTTCACACGAGCTGTTGCAGATTTCATTGCCAGCCCATGTCCGTGACGCTTTCCATCTTTTCTGTAAAGACGACGAGGTTACGACGTGGGCAAAGGCTACTTCGTTTGAAGAGTTTCAACGCGTTGCAGACAAAGTCTTTGCCGGTCTCTTCTCCATGAAGGTTGTCGACCAACTTCGCTCTCTTCCCGATGCAGAGCGGGATCATATTTTTGAGAATACTGTCCTCAACAACCGGGACACTCTTTTATATATTGTCTTCGTTCGTGCAATCAAGCGGGGGGACATTGGGTGTGTTATGAATGTTCTCCGTGTCTGGATGATCATGATGCGAGGTGTAGGAGCGATGCCAAAGTATGCAGATGCAATATTCGAGACACTCACTCGTTAAATGACATGGCCGGAAAAGCTTCAGTATGTACTGTCATACCTTCCTATCAAATATGTTGCTCATAATCCTTGCATATTGTACTCGTAGGAAACTCTTCCTCATGAATTGGCTGGTCAATCTGACCGGAAAGGCTGGCGGTTTTAAAGAGGTTGATCTCCTACAAGAACATCAGAATTTTTGGGCGAAGGTATGGGCCCCAACTTCACTACTAGTAATCGCTTTCAATCGATGCTGACGATGGGTATTTCTAGGTGATATATGCAGCAAAAGGTACCAACAAGAGCTGGAAGTGGCTCTCAATGATCACCGTCTGCATATTCACTCTGCGTGATGCGATGTGAACCATTCAGAAGTCTTTCAGTGTGACTAATTATGGTACACGCCACACGAAGCCAGATGCCACCAAAGAAATCCTTGAACTTGCCGATCTACTCCACAAGCACAAACTCCAGCAGTACCTCTCTGGGCGCCCCGGAAACAGCTTCGTCACCCCCGTTGACGATCTCCTCCACCGTGGTGCTGATTATGCAAACACTCCTAAAGCATACGCCGCTTTCCGACCACCTCGACACCAAGCTCAAAATATCGGTGTACCCGCCCCAGGTCCTGTTGATTCCGCCACCTCTGAGCTCTTAGACAACCGTGATATTCCACTGGACGTGGACGACGACAACATGGATGTGCACGACGCATCACTCGGTACATCACGTGGTCCGACCGCCAACGAGACCGAAGAGGCTGGATGGGAAGATGAAGTGGCTGATGATGCTGCAGAATTTGTCACTCGAGAATATCTTGAGATGGATGATGAGGAGCGCTATGACTTGGAGGAGGAGGTTATGGGGCAGGCTTTAAGTATGATGAGGGAATTTGATGACAGTGGTTGGGAAGAGGTGTTGGACGAAGCGGAACAAAACAGTACAATTTGAACCAATGGCATTGGCTGTGTACATGAACATATCGTAGTAAAAATACCCCCATACACTCTCACAAACGTGTCTAGTCGTAGATGTCTACCTTATACTCGCAGGCAGGGCCTAGACATTGACTATATCGAGAGGTCAGTCTCGAGCAACATTGAAACGGCTGCGCTCAACGCACCTCCGAGTAGTTCCAAAGCGCCTGGTAAGCTATGATCAGCTTCAGCGTGCGTGATCAAAATTGAGTTGACGATAGTCTGCAGAGCATTCACATTGAGGTAGTCAATAGAGTCGGGCTCGCTGACCTCACGAGCATTGTCAAACAGGAGGTACCAGTCGTCGCGATACTCCACAAGGGTTTGATAGCCCACAAACGTCTTCTCAGTATGTTTGCAAATTGAAGGCATGGAGATCGGTTTCAAAATTAGCTCATAGTACTCTGGATTCCGCTTCGAACAGAAAGACACTGTCAGGATACTACAAAGGCGATGACAGGACACATAACGAGAACACATATTCTTGGCCGGCAATCTCTGGAAAGAACTGCACCGAAGCTTTCCATTACTATCCACACTGTTTTCAACTGCACGCCAGCACTTATCGAAGATGGCCTTGAGCTTGTCGCGAATAGCGGCGGACGGTGCAGTAGCGTGTCGTGAGGAGGAGGGGTTGGCACTGGCATCATCTAAGCCCTCTGCAACAACGGGGGCGAACTCCATCCTAAGATTACGAAGAGTGTCGAGTATTTCTGAGCCGTACTCGTTGATGAGGTTCCATCGTGCACGATCTTCGAGATCAGCAAGGGAATCCACGAATTGAGCCCCAGAAGCGTATGCATCAACGAGATTGTCAGCGAGCAAGTCGGGGCCTGTGGGGAAGTGCTGGTGTGGCCAGTCACGGTCGACTATGTGATCATGCAGTGCGTTCAAGCAATCAATCACGAGTTTTTTCATGGAGGGTGTGCTTTGAGCGCGACAACCAGGTTTTCGTCGGGTAAGATCAAGGAACAAGATGGTGGGGACTAGGAACTGGAGCGGTGTGCAGTTATCACAGCAGCGAGCATCCGAAGAGAGCGTGGGGAGGGGAGGCGTCCTTATAAAGAGTAAGTCAGTCATATACAATGCAAAATTGAAGGTTTAATAGCCAAACCTTTCCGAGAATTTCCAAAGAAAATGTCCCATGGGACGCGTCTGCATCGTTTGGTCACGATGTACCAGATGAGAAACCGGAAGTCCCTTGCAGCGAGTGCACCCCGAAACTTCGACTTCTTTGCCTTGCCCTTCAAGTTTTGCGCTGTGGCCTCCTCTTCGAGCCTTTCAACTCGCACAGTCTCAACATCTTCCGGCGCTATGCCCTCTTCTAGTAGCGGCTCCTCCATTGCGTCCTCATCCAGCGACGCTTCTTCAAGACTATCCTCCTTAAGTAACTCTTCGTACTTTCGAACAAATGTGTTGGTCACGTAAACAATACACTCGCCTAGTTGTGTGAAGTCCCGAACACAGCGCCCAAATTTTTGTATAAGTGAACAAAATGTTTTCGGGGCCTTCCAGAGAACAACTCTGCTGACGTTCCGAAAGTCAAGTCCCTGAGAATGTGTTAGTGTTAGATGCACAAAGTCTTCGAAACGAGTCAGGCTTACCCAGCCCAAGCCGGATCTCCCCTAAGCGCATCCTGTCAAGAATGTAGCTCTTGCGTTCCTCCGAAATGTTCCGGTGGTAGAACTCGACGGCATGGCAAGAGATGGATTCCGGAAGAGCAGCTCTTAATGTATCTTGGATGTCTTCAGCGTCCGTTCGTCCATTCACGTAGATGATGGTGATTGGGATGTTGTCAGCAGTCGATGCGTCGTGTGGAATAAGTGAAAGAAGATCCGCCATTGAGTCCTCTGGGTGCTGAATGATTCGAACAGAAAGCGCGACATTGGGTTTGGCATTAGAAACCATGACCTGCGCACAATCGTTGTCGAGACCGAGCTTCTGCTGGAGATCACGGATCACTGCCTCAGGGAAAGTCGCAGAGACGGCTAAGATAGGGGTCCCAGGAAGCAAGCGAGCACGCAACGTCCCAATCCGAGCATATTCAGGTCGGAAGTCGTCTGTTCCCCATTCGGTGACCACATGAGCTTCATCTACCACTTTGCAAATGCAACTGTCGCGGAAGATGTCAGAGGAATACACCAGTTGCAAAAATTGGGCGGTGAAGGCCGTCTCAGGTCTGACGATAGCTATTCGAAACTTGCCCAAACCCAGGTCCTAGTATATAGCATGGGTTGGTGGGCTTACAAATGCAAGACAGAACTACGCACCTTCATCAACTGCTCTTTATTCTGTGTCTTGGAATGGATGCATACGGATGGAATTCCTTTCGTGTTGAGATCATTTGCCTATTTTGTAAGTGAGTTGGTCGTGTGTCTACTGTGAAGACAGACAAGTACGTACCTGGGCTTCCATCAATGCAATCAGAGGGCTGATGATGTACAGAATCTTCGCTGTCTTTTCATCTTCTTCCTTGCCGGACCATCAGTAGTAGAACAGAGGATACAAGAAGGCAAGAGTTTTTCCACCGCCGGTAGGAACATCCAGAATGACACTTCATCCTTGGAAGATGAGCTTTCCGGGTTGGCGTTGGTGTTCGTGCAGAGAACGGACATTGAATAACGAGCATAAGCGGTGTTCAGTCTCCACAAGCTGGAGTTCATCGAGTGGCACAGGTGCAGCTGCAGACATTTTGACCAGACCTTGCTAGGTATCGCAGAAGAGACCAAGCTCTTGAAACCCCCAGAATCCAGCATTGTCGGCCAAGCAAAGAAAAAAAACCCAGGTCCAATCTGAGACATCGCTGGTCAATATTTCAGTGGGAGGTTCGGACGCAAATGTCAACGTTGACTGCCGGGACAGACTTCGGCCATTCAAAGCACAAATACAGAGCGGGAGGCCAAAAACAGTCTGTCATAAGTTGGCAATGTTATTATGTTTCGATTGGGGGTACCATAATTTAGCATTACACGGAGGGGAAGAGT